GGCGGCAAAATTGCATGCATAAGTAACATTGGTCATGCACAAACATGCACACATGTTGCAAATTCAAACCCTGTGTTCAGATTATTCATTTTAACTCAGCATGGCTCAGCTGTCACTTCAGCCACCTGCCAGCCACTATATAGGATAAGCTTTAGAATGTTTTACCTACAGGTCAAATATCTCACTTTACTGGAGTTGGTCATTAAAAACACACAAAAAAACACACTCAACAAGGTAAAGGACAAAGTCTTTTGGACCTGTAGGGTGTTTGAATGTTTTAGAGTTTGGGATTTGCTTGGACTCCTTGTAACCAAAACACCACTGTGGAAAACGCCACTGATGCAAATCGAAAGGGGTACGGGTACGGTAGAGGGCGGGTGAAGCAGTTGCACCGTGCTGGACCCGATGCGTTGAACGACGCTACGAACGGGGCAGGCCCGGTCACCGGTCGCGCTTTCCGTTCCAGGCTTGGAACCAGGGCATCTTGGAGAAGGTGGCTCGGATGGAACCGGATGGAACCGGGAAAAAACACAAAAAACAAACACGGTGTGGGGATTCACCCCGACCTGGGCAAATGTCCAAATCACCTGATCCCGCAAAACCAGGGCATTTGATCTGTGGATGTGCCCTAGGTCCACCAGGTGGTTGACGGCGGGAAGAACGTGGGTCGAACCAGTCGCGCGGGCCTGGAGCTCAGTGGTCGGGAACTTGCGACCACCTGGGGGCAAAGCCCAGGCGTCTGGGGAAAGGAACCATGATTGGCAAAAGGAATGTGAATGAACAATCTTATTATATATCTGAACTCCCCTCAGTTTCCAGGTTACCTGTTTTTTCTAGGGTGTTCGAGTCTCGTTGGCAGAAGGGCGAAAAAAACCACCCGGGGACCAAAAACATCCCAAAACCATCAAAAACCACCGCACCGTGGGCTTAATTAAACAAACAAAGCTGCCCAACCTCGGCCCCACGTCCCACGAATGAACCTTGGAACATGGTGGAAAACGAGCTCCACTGCACCGATACGGTGCGGCGTGTCGGTCGAAGCGGCCTGAGGTGTGTTGGACCACACGGGCCTCGCCCCGTTGATCGGCCGCCTTCTGCAGGAGAGGATAAAGCTCCTCACAGGGGAGAGGGAGCTGAAGTTGGGTACCAAGTGGGTGGAGGCAGTCTACAAGTAGGAGCATGGTGGAGGCTAGCCGATCCCGGTCTGGTGACGCTAGTGGTACAGTTTGAAGCTATGGTGTGACCTACAACTCTACTGTCAGTCAAAGCTCTATGTCCTGTGGATTCATTTGCATGCCAATATCAATGCTGCACTGCACTGACTACTTCCATTTTGGCGCAGATTTGCAGGTGAAGATTTCTCACAAACAACCTTGAGATCAAAACATATCAAAACCGATAACCCCCTGTCCTTGGTGAGGAGAAAATGGGACAAGTGGTTCGTCTGCATCTGCACATCGTAGCCATCTTTTGTGGCCTCCAGGACTGACCGATGGATCTGCTGGCACCAAGTCACACCCAGTGGCACCGACCGATGTTGCAAATATCTATTATGCCTTGTTTCGACCCCTGAAACAACCATATTCAAGAGGACAATTCAATGGGGAGTGTGCAAGTTAACAGTCATTGATTCTGATTCTGATCCACAGTGATTCAGCCACATTGAACCGAACACGTGCCACATTGGTGCTATCATTTATTGTATAAAAAATTATATAATTTGCAAAAACAGATTTGCAGGAAACGACATGGGGGAGGAAAGAAACGCTGAACCGTTTTCGCCGAACTGCAAAATGGCCGTGTTTGGGCTCAAACTGCGGCTGGCCTGATCAGCCAGAGCCATCACTCCAGCATTGTTGCATAAGACATCCTTGGATTTGATCAGCGACCGAACACACTTTCTTACTGTAACTGAGGACAGGGAGAACAGTGAGGATCACCGTTCTCCTGGTTATAGCCAATCCCCTTTTCTTCTCTCACCCAGTGGATCCTTTTATACCAATATTACTAGTAGCAAGGACGCTATTAGGTTGGAGGCCATCGCTACTAGTAACAAGAAACTACTAGGTGGATGCCATCGCTTCAGTGGCAAGATCCATTCACCCTATACCTTCGGAGAAACGACCGGCAGGATCCACCACCAAACCCGGAGGACGCGGCTGCGCGAATCCTCGACGCTGCCGTCCTAAGGTCCATGAAAACTATACACCCGGCCCTAAAACCCCTTACCCGAAACCAAGTGTCCAGGACTGCACAGCACAGCTGTGAGTGACTTGGAGTGCGTTCCTATACACCCGGCCCAAACCCTAAAACACCTTCTCCAAGTGTCCACGCCCTTGCTCTTAAACATCGTCTTCAGTTTCTGCGCGGCAGATCGGACGCCTCAGAACGATGAAGAGTAACTGTGCTGTGCACAGCTGTGAGAGAGTCGACCTCAAATGTGTGGTGTTGCAATGTGTCTCAAGTGAGGCCACCACAAAAAGAAAAAACAAACACAAAATACAGTTGCAAACAATCATATATTAATCATTTATAATGACATAATATAGAGGGTAAGGTCATGATGTTCATCGTAGTTGCATCCAGGTTTCCCACCAAGCGTGGTATCAATCCCAGGATGTTCCGTTGGAGGGCATGTTCCGACATCGAAGATCCCGATGTCGGAAAGACGCACCCTACAGGTCTAATGACCTCATGAACTACTGGAGTTGGTTATACAACAACACTACGAACAAGGAGGTGACCGCCACGGCGTACTATCATCAGTTTCAACCTTCCTCTATCACAGCCGGTAGGCACCAACGGCCCAAGATGCTCTCCATCATGAGTATCTTGGATGCAAATGTTGACGCTTGGCACGGCATGGGTAGTCTTATTGCGACTCTACACCTCATACCTCGATGTTGATCGATCCTCAACCTTCTCATCCCCCCAGTCGCGCTTCGCGCTTCCAGTGCACCCAGAAAACGGGCGTGTTGGAAAGGGCAACTTCTGACACCCTTGCAGGTGCTACGAATCCACACACATCGCCGCCCCGAACCTGCAGGCTCCAACGCTTCAACATCTTGAACGGTGTGCTTTTTTCCGAGTTCGAAGCTCAAGAGACGAAGCTCCTGCCGAGCAGCTCTCGAAGTCTTGTAAATCACACTCCACGCTTGTGACCTGTCAACCCAGACGCTGTTGTTGTGCCAGGCCAGGCCATGCAATTGACCGCACCCGGACGACTTGGAGTGCACTTAGTGCAGCTTAGTGGTGCTGCGAGGGCCACATCAGCACTTCTTTCATGAGGGGATTACTGGGACGTACAGCATTTCCCTAACATCCCCTCAGGGAATGTCGAAGCTGAATTTTGCCTACTTGGTTGCTTGGCCAGTTTTGTCTGCAAACCCATGCACAGTTTTGTCCAGTTGAATCATCTGCCTTGGTCACCCTTAATCAGCCGGCAGCCTGCATGTTCATGAACAATGACAAAGATGCTGCCATCAATCACATAATATGTCACATACAATTCACTAATAATCAATCAATCAATCAATCAATCAATCAATCAATCAATCAATCAATCAATCAATCATATATATATATAGACATATAGGCATATTTATATATACCCTACAAGTCCAAAGACTATTATTAAAATGAGCGTTCCCAGAAAGACCCTTTTCCGGGAAAGACTATTACTTGAATTTACTTGTTTGACCATTCACGCATCGATCACGTTCAACAAGCTTTTTCTTCTGTGCGGTGGCTGGCTTGATCATCCAAGATGACGTTGGCTTCGAATCCTTGGGATAGTTCAAGAGATTTGGATCAGGATCCATGGATCATGTAGCGTGCATCATACTTTTGTCACAATGCTCCCAGGGCACTCTTTCATTTTATACTTCATCGATAGAAGCCTGGAAAGGCATGGTCCACATGATTGTTGGTCTGGTGGGCGCAAAACTGCTGCAAAACAACACAGCGCCTCAACCGCTGACACTTCAGAAGCCATAGAGGACGGTATTTTGCCCTAGAATACCGCGCACAGCCTCAGATTTGCTTATACTAACTGCACTGCTCATTTTTCTGGGTTTTCTGGGAACGTCTTGCTTAATACGTCTTTATGGGAACGATCATTTTAGGTCTTTGGACTTGTAGGGCACTTGTCGATCGATCGAGAAAGACTCTGACAAGAGGCTCTTGCTCCACCGCATTGAATCTTCATCAGCAAAGGTATGATAGATAGAATCTTGGGTTTTTTCCTTGGCTCGTTAAATATCGATCCCAGTATTTGTTCAATCGATCGGCCGATTTAGAAGAACACCACCGAGGATTCATGCTAACGATTCGAAGTTGATCGATCGATGCATTCGAGCTGACCTGCTATCGGGCCCAGGTAGGTTGATAAAGAAATTGACACCGTCGACATGTACGTACCAACTAATTTAGACAGATGCATGACTCAGCGGACCGATGGACAAAAGGATCCATGCATGCATGCATGCATGGATTATTGGCACCAGTTGGATCGATGCAGCAACATTCGAACTCCCATAAACCTCTTGATTGCGTGTGTAAGCGCCCTCCAAGTCAAGGCTCTATACCGCAAAACATCCTGCAGGATGTGGAGCATTGCCTCAGCAGCTGCCAGCCGGATCAAGCCCAGGGTGGCAGCGTTGAAAGGGTAAAAGGGTCTTTCTGGGAACGCTCATTTTAATATTTAATAGTCTTTGGACTTGTAGGGAAACCATAAAATATATAGACCCCATAACCATCAGAGCTGAGGTACGTGGAATTTAGGTTTGGTCAAGAACGTAGGTCTCGACCGGCGAATAGAGAGAAAGCTCAGTGATTGAAATGCTCTCAGAAAGCATCGCCCCTCCCGATAGATGGATAGCGCTGACTGTTGCGACCTTATATACGAGGCAGTGCAGTAATACTTAAAAGGTCACAGGCCTAATATAGACAGCCCAAAAAAAGCAGGACACACATCATGCCTACATGTCTCAAAAAATCGATCAATCGAGAAGCAATTCTCGTGGGTTCGTCTCGAGAAGCCAGAAGAACCTGGACATGCATTTCCTCAGGGCACACAGTTCGAATGTGCATGTGACACCCATGGCACGAGTGCGCCAGCTGGAATGGTGAACGAGGACGATTACAGGGGTTGATATATACATCGAATCGCAACGAAACAAGTACTAGCAGTATAGGACAAGGGTCAAGGCATGACATGTCAGTGTGACTCGGCCACCGTCATGCCCACGATCGAACGCTTGAGCGGCCAGGGGCAAAGTCTCAGCCAGCCATGCGCAAACCACTCTGCCGTTCCAAGCCTTTGCGTTCATGGTAATCTCAAAAGGATAGACCACCTTGGCTGGGAAACTTGCTCGTGTGAGGGTTGTAGATGTTAATATATACGGCTGCATTGTGCAAACTCGATTTTCCGGTTAATACATTTAATGTTTAACAGCCACATAATGTGAGCAGGGAACCTTGGACACCTTGAAAGGTGGTTGCGAGTGGTCCAGCTTTCTTGACCGGCAATGGCCAATGAAGTCCTTGTAGGCTTCGTCGAATTGGAATTGAAGTGATCCTCCCCCATAGTACTCCAACTCCTCTGTGAGCATGATCCTGAATCAAATGAGGGCCCCAACCCAGATCTATCCTGATCTCGATCTATATACATGTGTTTTAAAGCCTCTGATTTATACATGTCCCACACCAACCTTCATGCCAGGACCTGCCCAACATGCTGGAAACCGATCTATGCATAGACCTCTTGTTTTGCAGGTGTCTTGACAGGATTTGGGGTTGGGTGCTGCAAAGGGTCAGGGCTCCACCGTTGAGGCTCATCAAAATCCCCAAGTTGCAGCAGTGCATGAGACACCACTTTATCATCGACAGGTCAAAGTTCTTCAAGCGCAAGAGTGGGCCTCACACGGATTGAGTGAGATCACAACACCACTTTAGATATGAACTTGAAAGTTTAATATGTATCGTGTGACTGTCCACCAAAAGAAGATGATGTCTCAGTTGGCAATTCCAGCTATAGTGCTCACAAATATTCTCGATCTAATCATGTTGAGGGTCAAATATTGTGAGGTGGAAGCCTTTTGCAAATATATTCGACCGTGTCGAACTCCTGTTGCACCCAAGAACAAGTCTCATCCATATTCCAATACAACAGACCGCTGTCTTGGCATCGGGCCATAGCTGGACAACGGAAGCAAATTCCAACATTGACACCTCCTTTCCAGCTGCACTTGAATTGCCACACCATTTTGTGAAATTCCCAGTCGCCTCTGATCTCCACCATTCCGAATTGGTGATGAGCATCTGTCAACCATGTACCAGCTAGGTCCCTTTCTGCCTGAGATGCTAGTGGCCGGTTTCCTGGTCACCACCATGGATGAACCCCTTCGTGAAGGGTATTGAATGACCAAACCAGCCACCGGAGGACCGTATAAATGGTCCTAGTCTTGTAGAGCTGCGAAACATCGCCGGACCAAAGGAGAAACCGGGAGTACCTGATCGATTTTGGTCGAAAAATCGGAATGTTCATCCAGAAGCATAGCAGCTTCTCGACACGACTCTTCGTGATCAACTGGGCCGCGTCCCCGTAGAACCCCAAAGGTATCCTTTCTCGCATGGCCGGTTTGGCATAAGGTTCCCCAGCTCGAATGGCATTGTCCCAAAACTGGTGGACGTCAGCCTTTGCAATTTCCAGCTGACACGTGTTGAAAACAAAGGCCATCAATCGATGAGGAAACAGGATAGGTTGTTGCTCAAGCCGGTATCCAGCGGGTATTTTCTCATCAGAGACTGGAACCCAAATGCGCTCAATTTCCTGGTTTGTCATGGGCCCAGCCACTCAGCCAAGATTTTATTTATGACCTTGTTTCAACACGTTTCAACCCCTATCAAAAATTGAGGCGATTGATACTGAGATCGAGAAGTCAAAGATTTATCGAATCAGGCCCAGGGGCAACAGGGATGTCATTCGCTTTCCAAAAGTCACGAGATGAATTGTGGACAGATTTGGAGGCTAGTCGAAGTGAGTCAGGATGACATGCAAGGCCACTTTCCTCGATCAGGGGGTGCTCAAAAGATTTCACTTTGGATGAGACACATTATAATATAATCAAGAAAAATAGTACGATCCACGATGTGATAGTACGTAGCATCCATCGGCCATATTCATTTTCTTTGTACACATGTACGTTGTACATATGTTGAAACTCCTGTTACTCGCAAGGGCTCATGGCCCTCCATACATATTTTCCCAGGCCTAACCCACTAACTTCCGAGAATGAGCGGAACCACTGATTGGAGCCAAGAGGATCCCCAATTCTTGTCACCCATCACCTCCGCTCCATGTTGCTTGCAAGGTGCTTGGACATGAGACCTGATGCGCTTCATCGTCTTGAATACAGAGCTGGCCTGAGCGGACGTCAGCTGATGAAGGCGGGGCCAGGAATCAACTTGGGCATGGTCATGCGTGATCACGCAGCTGGGCAATCAACTGTGACCTTCTTGGGGCAAAGTTTCGGAATAGAGAGTTGATTCATGACTTGACTGCCAAGGCACCCATGAACTCACATCCTCCAGGGCATTCTGCAAAACAGCGTTGGTACCCGATGGAGCAGTTGTAGCTGTACCTGCGCTCGAGCGATTATTGTAAGCTAAGCAATGGACACGTGGGAGTCTAGGCAGTCCTCTCCCAAAAAGTTCCCAATAACACGAACTGAGCATGGTTGCATTCTTTTCGATCCAGAGCGCCAGGGTGCGATCTATTGCACGGGTTTGGCGACACATCGGAAAACACAATTTCTTTAAATCTTCAACAAGGGACCACTGCAAAAAGTCTTGACGGCTGTGCAGGACAGTCAACAACTCATGCGTTTTAGACTGTGCACAATTGAAAGGTACCACATACGCGGTATATACTGTTTTAACGAGCAGTCCTCGCCCCACCCTGCACTGTCCAGAGGTCCCTCCGAACTAGGATTCCATTCCCAGCCCCCACGTGACATGCGAGTGTCACAACCCCGCGCTGGGTTCTAAGGTATCTAGCAGGTGAATCCTCCAGATCCAGCATCAAGCCTATAGCGATCGATCCAAACTACTTCATATTGCTGTTTGACAAAAAGTCTGCCCAACTCTTCGATGCACTCTCACCATCAGCTTCTGGGCCCTCCAGCTCAGAAAAGTTCCCACCGGCCTGCCAAGAGGAGCGGTAGGGTAGCACACCACTACGGCACGGTATGTTGCTGCATGCACGAAGGCACTAGATGATATAACGTTAGTTGACCCACTGGCCGAACATGTGCTCCGGCTAGCCTTCACTTTATCGATCTTGTTCTGCAGAGCTTCACGCACCTTCTGCAAGCGATCTTTGTGAGGACCAATCTCTTTGATGAAGACCTTCCTCAACTCGGCTGACCTCAGGAAACATGAGCCGCTGCATGGTTTCTTCACTTGCAATTGTGGGAGAGATCAATGGGCTGCGATTGTGGGGTATGCTGAGTGAAATTTGTGGACGTCAGCATATGCATATGTGCTATACTGCTCTGGCTCATGCATGAACACCTGGAAGGCTAGTACCAGGACAGGGAACGACACGTACTATAGGCTATATAGGATTTCAATATCTAGGGCGCCACAATGCTGTCTATTGACGTGGCGTTGCCATCCATCCACAACATCGATCCACCTAAGGTTGTGGCATACCGCCAGCTTTGCCTTCCACCAGCGCTGCCTTTTGGATGGCTGATGTCAGCTTGGACATGACCTGGAAGGAGGCGAGCGGGGGGGGGGGGGCAAAGTCTGAAGTGAAGGGAGCTCTGGCGAACATATGTACGTTGCAAAACATTTGATCCATCGATGATTTAGATCAATGAGTTTCTGACACATTATTAGTTTTGGCGTGGGTGATAAGTAGTTCTGCAGACTTTACGCGCCTTGTTGCTCTTCTTGATTCGCTCCGAGGTTTCCTTTCTGGCCTGGGCTTCAAGCTCTTCCTTCTCCCGCTTCTGCTTCTCTTCCTCTGTCTCCTTCCTGCTCTTCCTCGACTTCGACGATGAACTGGACTTGGATCTTTTCTTATCCTTCTTTCCCTTCTTTCCTTTCTTCTCCTTCTTGTTCTTTTTATTCTTCTTCTTCTTTTCCTAGCTACCCGGGGCTAAACATCCGCGTGCATGCATGTAGACCAGGTCACCAGGTTACAACGACACGGCTGCTAGTTAGGTCGATTTGTCGTTTTCTTTGGATTGCTTGGGTCATGAAAATCACATAACTATATTGGCCTGGGGAAGAGAATTTGCAAATCGAATGTTGTATTTGAACCATGAATCAGAAGTAGCTGATGAAGATGATCCCGAACTATCACCCGAATCTGAACCGCAGGAACTGGAAGAGGAACTAGTCGGTCGCTTTGACTTCTTCTTGGACTTAGACTTCTTCTCCTTGCCTCCCTTGTTGCCATCATCGTCAACGGCCTGAAACAAGTTGTTGGTAACGATGTCCTCTGTGTCTTCTTCAGCATCCATGTCCCACACTAGGTACTGTACCAATTCCTGAGCACAATGTGTAGATCATGGAGGCGGGACGGGGGGTGAGGAGAGGCGACAGGAATGAAGCGCTGGGAATCGAAGAACCAGTGGAACCATGAAATGTGTTTTTTTTATCGATCTGATCTAATGTGCGCACACATGTATTGCGTATTGGCGTATTGGAGTACAGGTCACACTTAGATCAGCCTAGGCGCGGGCTCGTCTGGGCAGTCTGGGTGGCATCGTATCTGACTTTTGGCTAGAACCGGGTCGTTCTGTTTGGCTTCTATGATGCGCATGGCCAAGCGCTCTGATCCAAACTTTTGGATTAGCTCTTGTTTCGTCATCCACTTCCGGGCCCCTTTCTTCCTCGACCGGTTGGTCACCCTCAGCTCCTTGACAAAGCTGCTCTCCTTCCAGTGACCCTCGCATTGCACCCATTGCTCGTAGAGCAACGCTAGTTTCTCACTGCCTAGGCAGGCAAAGGAGCTAGTTTATAACATTTAAATTATAACTGCGCGCGTGCATGTGCATCGAACATTTAGTACCTACGTGGCAACAACGATAAATGAGCCCATGGCCATGCATACTATGCGCATGCTGCCAAGTGGCAGCGCTTCGCAGCCTTCCCGGCAGCTCTGATCTCAGGGGGAGCACCTGAGGATATATGCCAACATGAGCCAACAGACCCTAAAAGGCAATTTTTCGATGCGACCTTTAAATGTCTAAATTAATTAAGCTTGAAAACATGTTAAAAAGGTCGCGTCCAAAGATTGCCTTTTAGGGTCTGTTGGCATTTCTTGGTGGTTCATGATCAGATCATTGCATACTTAACCGATGTGTGCGAGGCGAGAGCACGAGTGTCCGATATGATAACCATTTACCACGTCGCGTATACATACGATCGATTAACATGCCCCTTGAACATGCAGTCGTGGCACCCTTTGATTTCATACTCCTGGAAAACCGCATGAACCGAGCGTGAGCAGCCTTCCGAGCTCGCATCATCTCCAGTGTCAACTCCTGGTCGTCGTCGTCATCATTGACGGGGCTGGCCGGAGCGATAGGCTTAGGAA